CCACATCCTGCTCCGGAACCTGCTCCAGAACCCGCTCCGGAACCCGCTCCGGAACCTTTCAGAACCTTCCCCGGAACCGCTCCAGAACCCACTCCGGAACCGCTCCGGAACCACGCTGATACCTGATTGATGTATATACATGTGCGTACAGGAACATATATACAAGCATGTAAGCATATACACACACACACACACATGTAGATAGAGAAAAGATAGATGCATACGTAGATACAAGAAAAGGATATAGGCTGTTTATGTAGACAGATACATAGATGGATGAACGGATAACTATCTAAATGCATAGCTGGATAGATGGATAGATAGATAGATAGACACATAGACAGGTACACAGATAGACAGGCAGACAGGCAGCTAGACTGATGGATAGATAGCTAGACAGATAGATGGACAGACAGACAGACAGACAGAAAGACAGACATATAGGTAAATACATAAGCAGGTAGATGGGAAGAGAAAGAGAGAGAGAGAGAGAGAGAGAGAGAGACAGACAGATGGATGGATACATGATGAACAGATGAACAGATTATAGACAGATGGATAAATGGATAAATAGATAGATAGACCGACAGCAAGGTAGAAAGAGAGGGCGATACAGATGCATAGATGCGTAGATACATAGGCTAGCTGCGTAGATGCATTGATGGATAGATGGACAAACGGATGGATAGATAGATAGGTATGTAGAGAGGCAGACAGGAGGATAGGTAGATTGGGCGAAGAGAGAGAGAGAGAGAGAGAGAGAGAGAGAGAGAGAGTGAGTGAGTGAGTGAGTGAGAGACAGAGAGAGTGTGAGCGAGAGAGAGAGAGTGAGAGAGAGAGTGAGTGAGTGAGTGAGTGAGTGAGTGAGTGAGTGAGTGAGTGGAGTGAGTGAGTGAGTGAGTGAGCGAGGAAGTGAGTGAGTGAGTGAGTGAGTGAGCGAGCGAGCGAGCGAGCGAGCGAGGGAGTGAGTGAGTGAGTGAGTGAGTGTGTGAGTGTGTACCTGTGTACACAATGAATATCTCTACATGTATATTTACATGTGTATATATACGTATATGTATGTATGTTTGCATGTACGTGTGCATACACACATATATACATACATATATATATATATAGACAGACAGAGGCCATGTATGCGGCTTCATTTTCGTCCGCCATACAGACATCACTAAATGCTATTGCACAAATGGTACATGGTCATGGGGTTTAAATTATTGGGGACTGAACAGTTGTAAGACGTTCAACCTGCTTTGCGCAGTAATCTCAAGGCACAGTGACAAGCCTTGAGAAGAGAAACACAAGAAAGTGTAGAATCCATGCAAAACAAAAACCCTGTAAGTCGAAAGAAACAGCTGACCAATTCTGCCTTCACGTCGGCTTTCCCTGTACTTGCGGCTGCAGCAGCAGCGGCAGCAGCAGCGGCGGCAGCCTAGGAAACCGCAGATGGGCTTGACACTTGTACACTCGATCGTCAAACCCATCAGCCAACGTATGAACAGCTTCGTAAGCCCAAGTGGTCATAGTAGGCTCGGGGGGCTACGTCTGAGGATGGCCGCACCAAATCCTCGAGTTTCAGACATGCTTTCCGGTGGCTTCAAGGCACATTATCGCAGGGGCCGCACCCGTGCTCTAAGAAGCGGACAGTTATCCTACGTGCCATGAACATCTGCAGCGTCGAACACCATGTGCTGTAATCACGGGAAAGAAGCCGTCGGTGTCCATGGTCGCATCAACGACGGACGGAACCCACACTGTTCAAGCCCTGAGGCCCTGGAAACTGGAAGGCGTCCTGCTTCTAGAGCAGCGAGCGAGTCAAGAACTACAACAACACCCGTTGCACCCGTTAAGCGGTGTGTAAACGTGTGAGAAAACTCTTCCCCGAAAGGTGTTCATAGCCCAACAACAAACTGAATCTCAAACCTACCTACACTGCAGCAATGCCCGTGTAAGGCCGTTACGGGCTTTGTAGCAGCCTTGCCGCTGCTCTTCTTGGATCCACCTGAGGTCTGCATTTAAGCTTGGCTTTTGGCCGCTTGTGGCTTGTGGGCTAGTGATCCAGAGGAGTTTAGGGGTTATGGATAACGACAAGTTCAAACGCCCAACTTCAAAACTTGAATCCGAAGCCGAGATCCTAGCATTAGTCTGACTAGCTTTGTCACGATCTTGTTGGTGGTGTTATTCTTCTTGATCAAGTATCAGCCTTACGTATGCACCATGACTTGTTACTACCTAGTTGTTATTCAGTCTTTGGTCTTGAACAACATGCATTCCCCTAGAAAATTTCTAAATATCGCACGCATTGCCATAGCTCTTCGTGTTTTTTCGTGCTCTTCGTTTTGGTGCTGTTGCGGAGCATTAGACTTTGGTGTCTCAGTAAAACATGGGACACGGATATCGACTCATGGCATAGAACTCACGGGGCTTCCTGTCACCGTTAAGGAGCGGCACTGCACCTAATGAAACCCTAAAACCCAAGCCTAGACTAAACCCTGAAGTACATTCAGACACGTTTAGTCTGCAAACTCGAAATTGAAGATCGCAGATGAAGATTGCAGAGCCTTACAACCTAGACTCTAAGCCTAAACCTATAACCCGAACTCAAAGCCCGGATCTGCGGTGGCTTGGGCTCAAACCCATGGCGAAACGGTTGGAACTGCCAGGAACAGTAGCTCACCTACCAAGTGTTTCGGCTCGTTGAAGCCCTTCAGGCGTGTAGGATTTACGGGTTAAAAAGTTCAGACACTTAGGGCTTTCCTGGCGTTTGTGCCTGGGGACGGTGTCGGTAGGGCCGGTAGAGCTTGGGATTTGAGGCACAGGGGACAAGAATGCTTTGAGGTTTAGAGTCTCGTTTCAGGCATAAATACAGGGACAGGGCTCAGACATTTCGCGGCTTTCAGGTGCGATGGCAAGAAGCCACCTGCAGATCGTCTCCAGTGCGGTGAGAGAGGCCGGCATGTGGAACCCTGAAGAAGTCTACAGAACCTCCGACCATTATGGTAACTCTGAACCCTAAACAGGGGTTGATGGATTGAAGTTGGAGGCACCGTGCTCAGGCTTCCGGCACACACCGGCAGTGAACACTGCCAGACACAGCAGGGGTGGAATGAATCAACATGCATAGGTCGACAGAAAGACAGGTAGATACGTGGGTAGATACATAGATGGATGGATTGGTAGGACAGATAGACCGATGCATGGATGGGTGGATAGACAGACTGACGGAGAAGTTGATAGATTGATTGGTTAATTGATTGACTGATTGGTTGCTTGATTGGTTGGCGGTCCGGTTGACTGGCTGAGTTGTTAACTAGTGTGTTTGGTTGATTGGTTGATTGGCTGGTTGTTGATAGATGAGCTTCGGGTAGATAGATAGGTCAGATAGATAGGTAGGGATGGATAGATAGATAGATAGTTAGATAGCTTGATTGACTGACAGAATGAGAGTGATTGATTTGTCGATTGATACATAGATATGTCCATTGGCAGGTACACAGACAGACTCACAGGTAGATACCGAGATGGATGCATAGATCTGTAGATAGATTGACAGATCTTAATTGATACATAGATAGACAAGAAAACGGACAGCTCGAAGCCACCTGCCGCTCCCAGTCCAAAGAATTGGAACTCGCACCCAGATCCTCAAATGTTTGACGGCTGCGGGTTTGACGGCGACGGCTGCCGGTTTGGGGGTGCGGGGCTCGGGATTTGCGACTTCTAACTTGAGAATGATTTTCGGTTCTACCCATAAACTTGTGGCTCTGATTATCATACGAGCTTCGAAGTACGAGGCCATAGTGCCAGGAAAGGAATGGCCACGCATGAAGAGTCAACTGACCTAAACCCTGTACCCTAAAACCCAAAATTCAACCACGGTCACTGGTTGTACCTTTGCCAGCCCCTCTTCATCAACATGTCGGGGCTGCCTATGTTTACCCATAGCTCAGGCTTTCAGATGCGTGACATGGCGTGGATTTCCGAGATCTGAGCCCTCATTGGATTTGTATTCCGGCGGCTTTGGTGCTCAGCACATATATACAATGTGAAGAATGTGTTCACGTGTATTTTGCATTATCTCGGTCTGCAACTCTTGCTTTCATGACATACGATGTCGATGTCTCTCATGAAAAACTGACCTTTCGAGTGTTAAGCTCAGGATTTTCGGTAAAGTGCCATGCCATAGCAACGTACCCTGCTGCGAACCCTCACACCACAACGTGGAACCCAGCACGAAAACTTCGCACGAAAACACGAAGTACCCCCCACCCCCGAGAAACAGAAATCGTCGTCATCCTGGGCCCTAAACCCTGACCCTTGAAACCCTGAAACCCGATTAAACCCACAACATGGTACGGGAGCTTCTGGCTCTAGGCGGTCTGGAATCTAAGCCCGCCCCTACATGCGACGGGAACCCGAAACCCGAAGCACCTCGGCCCAAAGCCCCAAACGCAGGATGTAGCCAAGGCACACTGTCTGTGTAAATGCGCGTACGCGGGGGTGCTGTGCGTGAGCCGAAACACCGCAGGTGCAGGCTCGAGGCTTGAGGGCGTGATCCAAAGTTGAGGCGGGATGTATGCAGACCCTCAACTCCGAGACGCTTGATTATTGCATTGTGACGCAATCATGCAGGCTGTGTAATACATGGCTATCTGAGGAGCATATGCGTGGCGCCACTGTGGAAACGTGCACGGGCTCACATCTCCATGTGGAACAAGAATAACGCCAGTATTCATAGCGAATGTCTTAGTAGCTAATAGCTAAAGCAATAAATCGCAAAAGCGCAAGCATGACAGCCGTGCTTTCGGACAATGACAACACTGAACGCTAATGACGACAACAGCTGCCAACAAATCCAACCGCGTTAACATACTATGATGTGACACTACATCATACAATACAATATTTATTATATACTACAATGCGACAAAGCAAAGTATGACATGCTATAGTATGACATACAACATGATATGATACCGAAGAAGCGATATGAGGATCTCCTTGAGCTCGCGCTTGCGCTGGGCCTTCTCTGCCTTCTTCTCCTGTGCTGCTGGCTTTAGGACTTACGGATTGAGGGTTTAAGATTTGAGGCCTAGGACTTCGGGTTTAGGTGTTCATGCTTTTGGGGTTTTGGGTTTAGGGCCCAGGGCCTCGGGTTTAGGGGAGGCATGAGGTTGTATGGTCTGAAGTTTATAATAAGGCTGCTGATGAGGTCTCTCAGTTGTGGGTTCTGAGAAGATGTCTGGTGCTTCAATGCGCGACCCCAAAACGTAACCCTCACCTACAATGCATGCAAGTGATGTTGTCCTGAGAGGGCTTACCTGGTGCTTGTTTTGCCGGCCATCCACAGTCCATAACAGGGCAACTAAGCCAACCTTACAAGTGCAGGCCACCCCGATGGCGGAGACCTGCGCCGGCTTCCAGCTTCCGGCCCAAAACCCTTGCAGAAAGCCGACCCCATCTTTGTAAGAGCATATGAACTCCCCCAGCATCGAGGGCAAGGCGCTGTAGAAGCCTAGCGAGCCTACTTGGCATCTAGACCAATCACGCCCATGGACCGGCGATGATATTCAGCCCTCAGGAGAGACGCCTTGCTCCGCAAAAGCACTTGCAAACACTCGAACTACACGTGCAACCTGCGGTGGACGGTCAACCCTTAACCTTCTGTAAAAAATCAGAACTCTGCAGCATGTCAACACAAAATCCAGCTGCCCACGATTCAGGAAATTGCCCCGTATTTACTCTAAACCTGTTCTCCTTGAGGCCTCAACACCCCTCAGCTTGTGAAAGCAGCTGACCCACAAAAGCCGTCGAAAAAACCTGGCCATGCAGATCCCACGATTTCCCCGACAGGAGCAGCAGAGTCCAAGGTTCAACGGATCCGGAGCTCGAAAACTTAAAGCCCGAGACTTGACTAGTCTTCAACCCTTGAGAACCCTATCAACCCTATCCGGAAATCCTGAAACCGAAAACCCGACTCCTTCTTGTCTTTGGCCTTCTTGACCTTGTCCTGGCTGACACCGAGCCTCACTGGGGTTGAAGTCGTGCGGTTCGGGGATTGGAGTTGGCCGGAAGCCTTCGTTTGAGCAAAACCCGGCCCGCAACAATTTAGGAATGGGATGCTCTCAAGTACTACCCGCCTACTTTTTGAACTTTTTACCAGGGAATTGGATCGCACATTCCGCACTAGTTCAGGGCTTCAGACTTTCTGTCTAGAGGAGCTTGTCGGCGCCACCGTGCGCAACACCAAATCTCACAAGGAAGGCCAAGAAGCCACTACATGGGCCGACAATGCATTTCGGGCTTCGGGTTCTGAACCTCTGAGATTTCGCCAAAGCTTGAACTCTGAAACTTGTCAAACCGATGACCACTGAGACCATGAATTTGGGCGTTGAACGTAGTGTAGACCCCTGGTAAAACAACCGGCCTCACTCCAAGGTCTGCAATCGGATTTAGGCACTACCGGTAATCCACTTCATGACAGTGCATGGGCATGTCAAGCCCCAGCTTGAACTTCGGAAGCTAGCCCAGCATCCACAAACAAGCCGCCAAACCCTAAACTTTAGAGCCTGCAAACCTCAACCCCACTGCAGACGGAAACTTCCATGAACTTGCAACCCCGAACCTCGCCGAAGAGGCCGAGCCCCGGGCAGGGCACTTTGGCCGTCTCCGGGAGATGCAACCGAGGGGCCGGGGCCTGGTGCGGTTCTTCCGGCTTGGGAGTTGAAGCTTTAGGTACTGTAGATGCTTCAGCTTTAGGTTTTCAGAAGTTTCATGGCCCGGGTGTGTCCCGGCAAGTGACACGCCGCGAGCCAGCCGCTCCCAGCTTGAAGCTGCTAGAGTATGCATACATACATACATGCGGTGCAAAGAAATCAGGACGATAAAGGGATCCAAGCGACGAGCCTTTCGGAAAGGCTCTCCTCTGCACCTTAGACCCGAAGCCGTAAACCCGAAACACACCTGCCACTGGGATGCAGGCTCACAGCCCTCTCCTCGCACGCCTTGTCCTTGCTGGGAGCACGCAGGATTTCTACTGCAGGGCCGATGGCGCTTTCACCGGAACGTCTTGACTTAATGCGTAAGGCTAAACTTGAGCCCAAAGCCCCGAGCCGTTTCAGAGGCTTGTGTCGGGTTTCTGGGCTCTCGGCTTCAGGGCCATCGCGTTGAAACGGCACCCTGCAACTTACACCCTGAAACCACGGCCATGAACCGTCATATAGAAGTCCGAAGACTTACATCTTTTTGTGTGCGGTGTCGCAAACTTTAACTTGTACAACTCTTCGGCGATACATCGCCACGAATCGGAACCTGGATCTGGCGCAGGGCTTCCGGAAAACACGGCTCAAGTCCCTCTCAAACCAACAGCCCCAGAACCCGAGGACCCAACGTTCGCAAAACCCGAAGAACCGTGAAGCCTTACAGCTGTTGAAATCTAAGCCCATAACAGCTATAATGCCCAACTGCCTCGAAACCTCACAGATCAGACTCCTAAAGCGTAAAATCCTCAAAGGGACCTTACAGCTGTGCCTACAACCACAAGTCGAAGCCGCCAACCCTGCGCCGCCCGCCCTCATTCTCTCTTTCTTATCAGGCATTTCACACGAACCGTACGAGTACCAGAAAAAACCGGTCCTGCGAAGAGCCCACCACCTGCTCGCCAGTCCGTGACACACCTGGGAGCTAAGATCGCCTAAGATAGGCACCTCCACGGAGCGAACTGGCCGTCTAGAGTTTGGGGGTACGCTGAAATTTAATATGACCACTGTAAGTACAATGAATATGCTAGGGAAAGCACAAGGTGTAAGCGTAATAATACGAAGCAGCCAAGCCGCTGTCCTCAATGCATCTAGCTGTTTCGGGTTTGAGGGCTTTGTGTTTAGGATCTCGGGTTTGGTTGTGTGGGCATAGGGTACGCCTTGAAGCTTCCTTAAAGAAGCCCATAGCGGAACCCTTAAGGGAACCCCTACGGAAAACCTTGAAGGAACTCCCTCACGTGTCTTCATGGCTTACCGGGCTGGTCGCAGGCTTTTTGCTCCTGCACATCCTCCTAAACTCTAAGCCTTCCTCCCTAACAGTACCTACGATCGAAATCCCAAAGGGCACCTGAATCGATTTCCGACTTCTCCACGAGAGGACCTGCGAGACCGACCACTCCGGAGCTGCTTTGCGTGATGTTTCGTTCAATAGACCTTACAGCGGCAGTTTTGTGGAGGGTTCAGTGAGGTAAAGAATGCAGAGCAGATTCGGACACAAGGACACCACTAGTCAGCCCTCTAGTCCTGAACCTAAACCAGCCCTGCAGAACCGTAACACATTTCTGAGAGCCATAACCGCTTTAACTCTACAACCCTGGAGTATACACCCGACCCTGAGACCCTGAACACCAAACCGATCGACAGCCTGCAGCCGGCGCGGCCAACGACTCCTCCGGGAGTGCTTCTTGCGGACGTGAGCGAACCTGACCACAGCGAGGTCGGGATTTGATGGTTTTTGGAATTGAAAGTTAGGGCTTCTGGGTCTGTGTCAACTTGTTTCTGGACTCAGGGTTTGGCCATCGCAGGTTTGTCGGTTTTTGGCCCTGTGCCCCAAGTGCCAAAAATTGCCTGAATCTACGAGATAGCCTTGCATAAGTTCATACGGCAGATCTGCTTCATAATCAGCCGTATCGACCGAAAGAGCTAGCATGAACCCAAACCCATCAAACCCTGTGACACTGTGATGTCTGCTGTGAGCATGACTTGAAAACACCTGCAAACTCAAAGCCCAGACATCGCATGCAACACAATCGAACGAAGAAAAACATATGACAAGCATGGAGACTTGTACGCAACAATTTGTAGAAGCCCGGCGAGAAAGAAGCTGTTCAAGCCATGCTCGAAAAACTCCTCTGTAGCCTTGTGCCAAAACCTACCCTCAAGAAATGCTCAGAAGTGCTGTAAATAATTGCAGCAGAGCTGGGCAGAAGGGTACATCTTGTAGTATAATGTACAACCGCATAAGGACCCAGAAGAGACTTTACTGATACTCGCTTCAATTATTCAGGCCGCTTCATCACTGCACTAACCCGGCACCCCCCCCCGGGCTCCAACTCCAAACATACAAAAATCCCGGACCTAAGCCCGAACCCTAAAGCCTAAAGCATCGCAAAGTCCCAAGAATTCAACACCCCGCATCTCAAGAACCAAAACACCAACTCTAACCCCGAACCTGGAAGCTTCAAGACAAAGTCACAAGCACTCAAACTTTGAAACCCCTCGTCGTGTAACAACCTGATAAACCCCCACCATGTCAATCTTATCACAAAAGTTATCCACACGAACAGCCTGAAGAAGAACCGGTGGTATTTTAGTCAGCTTCAGAAACTACGGTAACCTGAACCCTAGATCCGAAGGCACTGAAGTTTAGGGTTTAGGATGGGTTTAGCGTGAGAGGTTAAGTTTGGGCTTCAGGCCAAAAACCTTTCAGCCCAATGCCCTTAACTCTAAACTTGACCCCCAAATCAAATTGATTTCCACATATCCAGGTTGAGACACCCGTGGTTCTAGGACTCTTATAAACAACATCAAACAGTACGATCCTCATTGAGAGCACCCTTAGTATGGACTTTGCATGCTCAAAATCCACCAATTCAGCAGGATCGTGCGTACAAACCCCCCAGACGACGGAGCAAAACGCAGCGTTAAGCTCTATGAAACGAACCCAGAGATCCCAAGGAGTCCGGTCCCAGGCCTTCCTGGCCTTGGGCTTCCTGACCTTCTCCGCGGGACCCCTTGGCCTAAGTAAAGCGGCGAAAGCTCAACTGAAGGGGGGTGGAGAGCTTTGTGATGGGGCCTTGGTGCACTGCACGCTTTAGGGTGTAAGGCTCAGGGTTGCAAATCAAAGCGTCCAGCATGTACCCAAGCCCGTACAGGTTGTCGGCCAGGGAACTCTGTCACCGCGAGCCTGACACCTTGAAGCCCAAACCCTGCTGAAAATACATCGGACCCTCTGGAAACCCTGTCTGAACTGCGACAGGCTGATAACGAAAAAAACCCTCAAGAGCACACAACCTGTGGGTATACTTCATACTGCTGACACACACACACACACATGCACGCACACACGCTACCAAAGCAATCGACAAGAGTGCAAGTTGTTTTTGCAGCTCCTGTTTTCGCTTTAACGCTGAGATAATACTGGCCGTGTCCGAAGTCCTAAACCCTGAACGATAACTGAACCCCAGCCCGGGAACTGGCCGAGCCCCTCGCGGCGAGCTCCTGCCTGGACCGGTGCCCTCGGGTTGACCGAGACCTCGGTTCGTGGCTTCGCATTTCAGGCTGGCTTTCTGCCACCCCGCAGTGTGTACGAAGTGGGATGGCTCTCTTCATCCAGATCTACAGGAGGGGCGAAATTGGCGCGGCGCCATGCATCAGGACCAACTTGAAAGCAGAGCTGTACGAAAGCTTCAGGCTTTAACAATTTGTGGTCGAGGAGGGTGTTGGAGCTTCAAGGTCGTAGGGCTAGTTGATGGTTGAAGGCTCTGGAGGTCGACAGGTTGCGGCGAGGATAAAGATAGGCAATGTCGAAGGGTTCTCCACGGAAGACTAGTGCCTCCTGTTTCTGCAGAAGCTCTTGTCATTCAAAGTTCAGAACCACTGGGAACGACTGACCTTACACCCTACTCAAAGTCCTGAACCTTCAACCTCAAAACGGGAACCCTGAACCCGAACTCACCTGACCTAAGCCCGAAACCCTGAATCCTGAACGCTAATCCTGAAGCCAGACACCGTAAACCTTCAACCCCAAATCGTGACCCCGACACCCCAAATCCGAAACTCCAAGCTAGAAGCTGTAGGCCCGTCTAGAATCTGGGGCTTGCGGCTTGCTGCGTCTGGGGCTTAAGGTTTAGGGTGTTCGGAGCTTGGATTTCAAGGTTGGGGACTCAAAACTGTTTAACTTTAGTATACATGATCCTTACTGTAAATTTTGAGGGATCCTCACAAAAGTCATTTAGGGTTTGGCCTGCCTTGCCCCAAGACTTTCTTGTGTTGCGAATCTGAATTCAAGCAGCCGGACTCCCTATCAATCACCTCGGTGCTGCTCTACATTTTGTCAGAGTTCGCATGTACTACAATCACTGGCATGAGCGTCCTGACCCAGGTGCACATTTTTGACCGCCATCTCGGATCTCCCTCTTGACACCTCAATTCCAAACCCTGAACCGAGACCCCAAACTCGAAACCCCAAGACAGCTGACCCCGAGAGCACTCAGCCTTCTTTCGAGATTCGGGCTTGTGGTCACTCGTTGCTCGGAAGCTGCGGCAGCGGCCGTCGCACCTGGCCAGGTGGAGTGTCAAAAGGTCTCCTGCTATGCTTCAGAATTTAGGGGAAGTTCAGGGCTTTTACTTCTACACGACGGTTGGGTGAGGTTTGTTTTGCTTTGCACTTCTGGATCTTTCGTGATCTTTTGCTACACTACTGGGCGTGTCACAAAGCGCAGGAGCAAGGCTGAAGCCTAGGATTAAGCTACAGGGTTGGGCTTCCGTCATCCAGAAACATCGTGGAAAGTTGAGATGGTGCCATGTTCGGAACAGCATGGCTCCTGTCATAGATGTCTGATTTACAAAGTCCATCCGATGACGACGACGACGACCACAACAACAACAGCAGCAGCAGCAGCAACAGCAACAGCAACAGCAACAACGACAACAACAAACAGCAAAAGACAACAAATACGAGAGCAACAAAAGGGCCAAAACACTCTCTACGCCCGTCTGTGCACATCGACACCTCAGCAGGCGGCAAGTAATCTAGAACTCCACCTAGACAGTACCTTCGTTCTTGTATTTATGCATGCGACCATAGTTGTTTGTACTGTTCATCTATCTAGTTACTTGTCTGTTTGCTCAGGCACTTATGTGTTTAGGTGGCTAGTTGGTTAATTAGTTAGCCAGCGAGCTTGCTAGCCAGTTAGGTACTAACTAACTAGCTAGTTAGTTAGTCAGTGAGTGAGTGACTGAGCGAGTGAGTGAGTGCTTTGTCATTCACGCTGCGATGAAGCTCCAGCATCTAGCGTGACAGGTGCGTCACGTCACACATCGCCTTCATCTCTGAGTGAGTGAGTGAGCCAGGTGAGGTGAGTGAGTGAACTCCTCCCTCCTCCGTGCGTTCGTTCGGTCGATCAGTCAGTCAGTCAGACACTCAGTCAGCTAGCCGGATAGTCAGCTTCATAAACCAAACACACTCCAGATCCTAAATTTCAAACCCTATCCAAATCCCCAAACTGACACTCCGACGCCCTGCAAGTCATGATTTAGGGCCTAAGTTTGAAGGCTTGGGGTTTGGAGCCTAGGGTTTAGTCCCTCCGGAACCTCCTCTATGCTCGTCTCCAAGGACTTCGTCTGGATTGTGCTGCCGAGCCTGGATCGTAAATGCAGGACTCGGGACGACATGTAGGGGTGGCCTCATAATTAGAAGTGTTTTTAGGGTATCTTGTGCTATGTTTGAAGAGGACTGCCACTAATAGTTCAGATGATCTCTACATTACGGTAGAATGTAAGGAGTCGGAATCCCCCGGTTAAATGGCTTGGGAGTGACCGTTGAGGGGGGGGGGAATGACTGCTTTTGGGAAAAACATGAGGCGCGTGGCGATCTGTCTTAAACTCAGCAATTTCTTGGTTGTGTACCACATAAGCTTGCCAACGTCCTCGCGAATTTGTTCATGTTTACGTGCACTAGGAAGGAACCAGAGGCAGTCATGACGTCATGAGAAGGCGGGCGTAACCTCGAGAAAAACGGACAGGAGACCTGAAATCGTCGAAACCCTAGATGAAGCAAGTCTCACACCTTCAGCCGTGCAAACCCCGAACCCCAGATCGTGAACCTTAAAACCGTAAGTAATAAGCCCTGAATTCCAGACTCTCTGTCCTAAACCTGAAACCCCAACTCTTCAAGCTGAGTCGTGCCTTCAGGGCTTCAGGTTCTTTGGGATTACAGGTAAGGGTTCACGACTGAGGGCTTAGAGATGACAAAAGCTAGCAAGTCCTTCCAGAAAAAAGGGTTTAGGGCGTCACACGCAGATGCGACCAAATCGACCACATGTCCTCTACAAACACTAAGAGTTTCCCAGCATGTTCTCAGCTATCAGACTGTTCCAGAGTCGGCTGAACATCTGAACATCTCTGAACTTGCGGAGAACAAAGCCTGCAAGAACGCATTGAAGCCCTCCAGCCCAAACAAGAATTCCTGAAGCACCTAAACCCTCAAGCCGTAGATCTCAAATGTCTCACCCGATGCTGCACCCCAAATATCCCTAAACCCTGAACCCTATATCCGAAACCCTAAATCTAAAAAGCTAAAACGCCTTCGACGCCGCGGGCTCGGTCTCTATTTGTGGCTCTGGCTCCTGCGTGGGCTCCGTCTGTAAAGGGTTTTACAAAGGCATATAAATGTGCAGCTGTATGATGAAAGCTCTAAGGCCCTTTAGGGTTCCGGCTTGCGCTTTAGAGTTCAATGCTTTCGTGTCCTGCGGGGTTTGCACTTCCAGTTGGGGCTTCGGAGTTTAGAGTTTCATACTGGGTCCTGCTCCTTTTTTGGAGCAACTTGCCCGGGAAAAGCAGGAAGCATTCTTCTGCTCCAGAATGGTTTCAACAACTCTTCATCTGGTGCGACCAGCTTTGCTGTCACAGACTTCGAGCAATTCTGTGTATGTTCGTAGCACCACGAGCCTCCGGGAGCCGTTAGCAAACCCTGCAACCTCCCCAAGTCCTGAAGTTGAAACACATATCCCCTACAACCCTAAAGCCTGAAGTTCAAGCTAAATCTGAAGCGCTGACCTTGCGCCGAAAGCCCCAAAGCCCCAACCTCACTCACTCACGTCCTTGCGCCGAAAGCCCCAAAGCCCCAACCTCACTCACTCACGTACTCACTCACCCACTCATGCATTAGGATGTCCTATGCGGTCCGATGCAAAGCTAACCAAGAAGCAGCTAAGTCCCAGATGCGAAGCCCTCGCTAAACCCCTGAACTCTTGCCCCGAAACCCGAAACTCTGAAGTCTCAACCCGGAACCTGCTCTGCCGCTTCCGGGGTCACTGTCGAGGCAAGAGCCATTAGCTTCTCTAGTGCCTGGTTTCAGAGCATGTTGGGTCTTACTTAGGCCACAGGCTTTGTGGTTGAGGGCTTCGTCGTGCTTACAAGTGCAGGTTGAAGGTTGTGGTTTGGAGTTTAAGGCTTAGGGGCGGTGAGATTCCGGGGGTTTGTGCTGAGGGTTCAGGGGTCAAAACGGTCGGGATTGAGGATCGAACGGGTTTCTGGGTAAATCCATCTTGTCCCGGGAGGCGGGCCAGCCAACCCTCAAAGCCACGTCCGCTTCACCAAATGTCGCAGATACGAGGTAGGGTTCGCCTTGGTTTGGATGTACTTATAAGAAGGCCAGCATACATATGTGTGTGTATATATATAGAGATATAGAAAGAAAGCAAGAACGAAAGAAAGAAGTGTCCTTAACAGCCACAACATACAACAGAAATACCCTCGAGCCCCCTACCTCAAGTCTGAGACACTGGCCGCTCAAACACGAAACCTTCTGAACCCCAAAGCTAAACCCAAGGCATAAATCCTACACACTAAAGCCTCGCCTGAACCCGAAGACTTCAAACCCGCGACACCTCTCCGATTGCTGGCTCCCAGCTGCTTCCTTGCCCCGGCCTGGCGCAGAGGGGAAAGCTTAGGGTGTATAGCTTCAGTTAAGGGCTTCCAGGATTTGGGTTCTTAGGGTTTTGTCGAAGCATGGCTGAATCATGCTACTCCTTGGCCTTCCTTATTCATCGTAATTGGAATATACAGCCCGAACCCTCCCCGCCCCACATCCTAAGTCTAGATACTGTGATCCTAGAATATGGTCCAGGTTCGTCTGTGGAGGGCTTTGGGGCATGCAGGGTCGATCTTGGTTCAACCTTGAATCCAAAACCCATAAGCCGACGAACAAGCTCCCCACTGACGGCCGGTCAGGCCTGCACTCCCAATGCACTGTGAACAGGGCTATGGGGGTAACTACAGGGGTTACAAAAAAGGGTGTAGTATTTGGGGGGTCGATAATCAGTATATGGTTCTGGTGTTTATGCCTCAGGCCTGTTCAACTACTCGCATATGCCGCCAAAGCCCGCGGATCACGCTTGTCACACGTGCAAAAACGCTGGGGGTTCAAGGCCATAATCTAAACACTTAGCCCTAAACTCTAAACCCAAACTCGAGGCTACTGATGACGGAAGTGTCACGGCTTTAACATATACAAAACCGACACAAAGAATCGAAAGCCCGAAACAAGCCAGGCACACCCTGTAGAACAGTAGCAAATCGTCATTGAATGCCAACCCCCTATAAGCGCCGCTCCCTTAACAAGGATGGCTAGACGGATCCTGACAAAAGCTCAACAACCAGACCTGGGTTCAGGTTCACCTGCAGGTGTGACAGTCCTGCGAAGGTGCGCTTTAATCACGGCTTACTTCATGGAGTTTATACTCTTCGGGGTGTAGGGTGAAGTTTGGTGGCTTAGTTGATGATTTCGACATGGTTGCGACAGAGAAGTACTGAGTGATTGGAGATTCAGGGGAGGGGCTGAAACCCTCGTCCCTAAGCTGCAAAACAAACGACTTGTTAAACTCCAAAAAACTTTTAAAGAACACTTTGAATCAGGTTACAAAGTTTCAAAACAGCGACCGGTGGTGGGAAAACCGCTTTTCCTCACGTTACGGGCTTAAGGCTAACAAAGTTGACACGGTTCTCCACCTGTGCATGCTCCTATGGGGCTTCATGGCGGTTTTCGCTTTATGTGGAGCAAGGAGGCTTCGATTGTGAGCATGAGATGCTGGCTGCCTCCTGCTGAGGCAAGCAACGGCAGCAACAAGCCAGAGTGGCCCAACAACCCTGTAGAACCCCGGAACCTTCTGACCTTAGACCCTCAACCACATGCTCAGCCCCAGATCCAAAACCCGAAATAGTGACTGCTGCACTCTGGAACCTAGACCGCGATAAGCCTTGTCAAACGCTACTGTATAATGAGCCATCCAACAGAAAGTTGCCGAAGCCCTGCCAAACCCCTTCGTAACAACTTCAGACACTCGTCTGAAGCCGCCATCACTAACGCCCTGTACAAGAAGAGCGGCACGTCCTTTCGATCTCTTTCGGACTGTCCATGTCCATGTCCATGGTCTTCCTTAGCTTAGATGGTGGTTCAAAAAAAGCTGGCGGTCCCAGCGTTGGCGTCTAGACCAGGGACCTTTGTTCAGCCCTGGAAGCTTCCTCCCACTACAGTGGCCTTCACGATTGACATAAGGTATTTTAGGGGGTATATACTACGTAGCATGAAGAATCGCATTGAGGAACACGAGAACACATACCAATTACTCGAGCCCCTGCACTATGACTTGCAGAGAGCCCCGTAACAACTGCAAAACGTTCCAAATCCAAGAGCCACTGAGCAACCCTATCTCGAAGAAAGAAGCTGAAAACAGGTATTCAGCCAACCTGAGACGGTATCTCGAATGAAGTCCTGTAGACTGTAGACTGCAGAATCTAGCTTGGGGAGCCCTCGGCAAACCAGCAATAGGACCGTTTTTTCCGCAATAATGTTTGAACTTCCACGAAGCCTTCCGAGCCTCTTCAGGCCCTACACCCAAAGAATCCCAATCGCCCTGTTTCGGGGAAGGACTCCAAATCTCTTTCCTGGATACTGTAGTGTGCAAAGGTTTTTTCTGGTGCTTGGTGAGTCCACCAGCGCGGCACCGGCCACATCTGAAGCACACAAGACCATCAAAGCCTTCGAGCATCAACTGACACAACATGCGCCACGCAACCCTGATCCTGAACTGCTACCCCCCAAACCCTTACCTGAATCCCTAAACCCCGAACCGCAAGCAACTAAACGCTGGACCCATGATTCATCCCGAAAATCAAAATTTCACCTCTGAACCGCCACCCCAAAAAACAAACAACCCTGAAGCCTCAACTCTCAAGCCTCATATCCGGAACCCCTTGCTTCCCGCGCCAGGCGTCGGCTCTGCTAGGTCCCGTTCACCCGGCTGCTCAAACTCCTACGGTAGGTTTTAGGGTTCAGGTCCAGGTCCAGGGGTTTATGGATGTGTGGGGCTTAGGGCTTGATTTTTTGGAAATCAGGAGCAAGTTTGAAAGCACCCAAAAGTTACAGGTAGGCCTGTCAAGACGAGATGTTGCCTCAGTTCAACAGCCCGCAACAAGCAAACACAGCAAGAGCATCGGCCCGATCCGAAAGCACTCCGCAACAGTCATATTGAGCACATGCAGGCTGACAGCCCGAAAGCCCAGCAAGAGAGTTCGGTGGCCAGCCGTGCGCCAAGCCAAGACCATTGTTACTGTTTTTGTTGGACGGTCTTTGGGCTGAATGGGTGGGAGTGGCTTTGGCCAAGCTGGACTGGCATCGTGCAGGCGATCTCAAGTTTCGGGCTCGGGATAAAGCCTGAACTCTAAAACCCCAAGCCTCGAAGTGAACTGCTGCGAGGCGTGGGCCGGATGGCCAGCGCCAGCCTGCAGGAGCCCCGCGGTGCCACTTTCAGAGGCTCAGAGGCTCCTGACACCATCTGCACGTCAACTTGGGTTTTGGATGGGCCTGTCTCCGTCCTTGGTTCCCTTTGGAGCTTCCAGGGCGGCTTCTGAGCTTGGCTCTCTGGTCGAAGCTTCCGCCAAGCTCACCGCCAGTGCCTGCAACCGGTCGGCATCACATATTTTGAGCGGCTGCCTCACAAGGGCCAGAGCCCAGCCCAGTTCCAAGGAGTGCCAGGAACTAGAGAACAAAGCCGCAATAAGTTTCATGCGATTCCAGAGAAGCGTAAGCCCGATGATGTTGCGACGTTGGGAATCGCTGAACACCTGACCACGGACGTCGAGGCGCGCAGGCTCTTGGGAAACCCTCAACCCTAAACGTAAAGCCCGAGACCTAAAACCCTGAATTCTAGACCCGAAAATACCCGAAGCTCAGAACCCAACCCCTCGCCTTTACTACAACCCGAACCCTACTGCTCCGAGCTCCTCCATCGCCTGGTTGCGCTCCTGCTGGAGGAGGAGCTCCTGATCTTCTAGGGCTTAAAGCTTGTTAAAGGCTTGCTTCGCAGATTTTAAAGGCAACTTTAAGAGGGGATCTTTGCCAGTAGGGTTTCCAAGCGATTCAAGCATCAGGATTTGGGGTTTTTATGATGCGAAAGCTGTAAGGTTTTAGAGTTCAGGGTTTCGCGGTTGCAGCTTTTAAGTTTCTTGGGCAAGAAAGTCAAGGAACTTAGCTTCATGATGCCTTAAGAATCCATAATGTATGTTTACATAGGGGTTTATGGGCTGTCCATTGGGTCTTCAATGGATTCATGTGCAGTTTCAGGAATTAAGAAAGACTTTAAATAAAGTGTCCATACTAGTAATGTACCTAATTTACAGAAGGAACCCGGGTCTTTGGCGGTGAGGCAAAAAGATGGAACGATGCTAGGGCCATAAAGGGGGCTGGCTCTTGGGTTTCGGTGGTGTTGTCTCTAAGCGAGCATCGGTTGTGTTACTATTTTGGTAATCTTTCAGAACTACCGAGACATGGCTTCAGGGTTTTACGGTCCGGTGCATCGTGCATTGGCATCAAAGTCTTGGGGTTGAGGCTTGGGGGGTTTGTCACGTTTGGTGAAGGTTTCGAAATCATGTCTTCGTAGGTTAAGGATGCCAGGCCTTGAGCTCGTATCTTCGAACAAAAACTCGACCACTGGACAGTGAAACCGTTGATCCCAAGAGCCCAAACCCCCCAGCAAACCTAAACCCTCAAAGCCAAAAACCACGTAGCATCCTTATCCCTTCGTCCTGAATCGCAAAACTGCCCCGTGTCTCCTGCATGTCGATCTCCTGGGGCTCCCAATACCTCAGCAAGCTCTGGACTCTGGATGAAGGTAGAGGCGCTCAAGGTCTTTCATAGGGGTTTGTACGATTTTCAGCAGCTTGTATAAGGGTTGTACAACTGCTATATGAGGGATTTATGGGATGGGCTTCTTGCTGCGGAACTTGGAGGAAGCATTGAGAGGCTTTATTCAAGTTACCCTGGTAGGACAAAACAAAGAACATGGTTTCATTGTAACGGTGACGCAAACAGACAGCTCCTCCACCTTGCACAGCTTCCACACCCTACAACCACATCCCAAATCCCGAGACCCCAAGTTTCTAGCGTGAGACTCGGGGAGCCCAGGATTGAGAGCCTCTGTTTGGAAGGAAGCCCGTGCAAGCTTCCACAGTGTGGCGTGAGTTCAAAGTCTGGGGCGACTATGCTGTGCTTCTATATTCTATAGTGTGCATCCGTATCGATGTAGCTTTCAGGATCCTCCTTTGCTCAAAGCCGGGTTTCGTGAAGACTTAGCCATCTTGTGTCCTCGGGTTCTGGTCAGAGGAGTTTCAATGTCTGGACTGACTCGCAAACACCGAAACACAATATCAATGACTCGTCGAAACCTAAGCCTGCCAGCAAGCGCAAGCCCTACACCGTCCCTCAAAGCCTTGGAAACAATTTCCATGCCAAGCAGCGACAAGTTTTCTGAAGCATCCAAGGGCTCCGCTGCATCGGCGGCCGGCACCGGCCTGGGTGCCCCGGTTTTGGAACGTAGGGCTTGGAGTTTAGGGATAGGTTTTCGAGTTTAAGGGTTGGGGTTTAGGGTTCAAACCTTAACTTGAGAAATATCGCCTTGAGGGTATACCGCTTAGAGGTCTAGAAGGTGTGCGATGCTTCCGAGCCAATGTGCACGTGGCTCATCTCCAGATCTGCCTTCAAGGTCTGCTGGCGTTCTTGCCATGTGGCGGGTTTAGGGCTTGGAGAATGGCGGGTGGGACTTTTGGACTTCGGTACGAAGCCTGCGCTCCAGTCTTTGTTGAAGCCTTCAGTGCTTCAGGTTTAGGGGCTCGGGCATGAAGACTTCATGGTGCTAAGGCTAAACGCACGCCCTGAACTTAATCAGCAATCCATAAGCAGCAAACCTTCGGTTGAGGGTTCAGTGAGGGTTTAGTGAGTTCCGGGGTCAGTACAGTGCTTAAGTTCAGGTTGCCGGAGGTAAAATCACAATTCTGGGAAGGATTGAAAAGCCAAGGTGTTGCGAGTTTGGGTGTTTGACCCATGCCTGCGGACGGCATTGCCATCCGGTACTGCAGGTCAGCGCCTCGATCGTGCCTTGCTCATACTGTAAATGCTGTCAAGATACGAGGGATGCCGCTCGGTGTCCGCCGCAGGCGGAGGTTCCGCAGGCGGAGGTGCCGGCAGCGCTGCCCTTGCTGGCTTGTGGACTTCATGGACAAAGGGCATGTGGCCTTGGACAAAAAGTTCGAGGTTGTTGGTCTCCTGCGCACGCTAAATGCACAGTTTCACGGTTGGAACGTCCTGGACTCTGTTTCATCTTGTAAAACAGTCACCTACACCCTCGAACGCTGCACCAATTGAAATGCCGTGCTCCAGGGTGGGTTTATGTTTAGGCAGGGTTTTGCGGCTCAGAGGGTCGCTCCGGTACCCACAACTTCTGAGAAGATCTGGTGCCCCTTTCCTGCTGGGTTTCCCGACGGCGCAGATCCAGCTGCCGGGGAGTGCTCCTCTTGCTTCCTTTCGCACGGTGGCTTTCGATCAAGGGCTTGAAGACTAGCAGATATGAGGCTGTTGGACGAAACCAACTGCTGCTGACGCGAACGCTCAGCTAAAGCCAGAAAAGCCGGGCGGGCATCCGAGAAGATAGGCCCGAAGCCCTCAGCCCCTTTTTTTCGAAGTTAGATCCCCCAGGGCGTGGACCTGAGAGACTGAGACCCAGGCCCCCACATGGCTCCAGAGTCTCTTGAACTCTCTAGCAGAAAGCCCTGAGGCCCCACAGCAAAAACACCCTAAACCCCCAAAACCAAAAGGCAGCAAAGAAGAATCACATTGTCCAACATACCGAACCCTGAAAACCTATGACAAAATGCGCATACATGTCTCTGTATGCGTAGCAAGAACAAGACTATTCTTACGAATGCAGTAACGATGAGAAAACATTCCAGACCCTTAAACCTGAATGGCTTCAATGGTTATGACCAACAATCGCAATAGCAAAACACGTTCGTCCCTCAAACCCTAGAGGCTTTGGAGATAATTATTGCGCCTAATGCCAACAGGAGTACACATAAACAAACACACCACACCTGATGATGGGCCCTTTGCTCTCTTGCCGCCCAGCTGCGGGGGAGCCTCCGAGGCGTTCGCCTCGGCCGCGCGCACCGGGGACGCCTTGGACTTCCTGAAAGAGCTGCCAAGAGAAACAGGTGCAGGGTTCAAGATTAAAGCCGAAAACCCTTCACCCTCAACACTTAGCCCCGAAACCAACAACCGGAACAGAGTAGGAGCCGGAGGCTAAGGTTTCGGATTAGATGCAAGTTGCTTGTAGGAGCCTACAGCTTTGTTCTCTGGCTCTAGGGTTTCCAATTCAGATGTAGGGATGGCTGCGAGCTCGAGTTGAGATTTGCTGGCGCGGGAGGCGACATTAGACAGATAGGTCCAAAGTCCACCCTTTAAAACCTCGACAGCATAGCCAAGACCTTCCTCGATCTGTATGGTTATCCAATCAAGGTGCTTACAAACCAACCCGTAAGTCGTGGTGTATAGGTATACTATATATCCGTGTATATCAGTATAGTGCATGGGAACTCAGAAACTTAAGCCCAGAGTCGGCCGAGCTGTGGAGACTCTGCGGATCCTCTTCGCCTCCTCGGCACCAGATGGCTCTGCTTAGTTCTTCCTGGTCCGACTTATACCCCCCCAAAACGGTAGCGCCATGTAGAAGACAAACGCTCTGCGACCCTGGAATGGAACGACGTGCCCATGTTTTACGGGTGCAGGTTTCAGAAGGCAGTTGTCAGCAACCTCGGGATGAAGTGTCGGTCAGGCCCTGCGCCACTTGCATTGACGTGACTGACCGGCATCGTAAGCTGGATCACCAGTAAGGTAAGGATGTGTGGAAGACTGGGGCAATCCACGGCAGCTCTATAATCTATAAGATGGCTCCAGTGACGAGGTTGATTGCACCTGCCGGAAAGCCCCAGGCCCGAAACTCTGAACCCAAAAGATGTCAATGTGGCTTGCTTGTCGAAGGGGCTGGTGCTGAATCCTCTTCACCACTGTCTTGCGGCCTTGGGCTGCTTGAATAAAATAGGTCTTCAGGTTTGGGCTCCGCTTGATTCAACCTCAAAGCCTCTTGAAAAGTCCCCTCCTGAAGTGTGTTGCTGGGTTTTTTGACATGCCGTTGTGGTGCCTTGAACGTCTGTTCGACAAGCGGATCCCGTGATGATTCTCCCTATGTACTGAGCACGCGTTGCACTGCCCTTAGCCGCCTTAAGCCTAAACCGTAAACGACTCACTCCTAAATCCCTGCATTCTTATCTGGAGCCAGAGCGAGAAGCTGTATCATTAGGATACAGGGCTTGTGGTTTAGCGCCAAGGGGAAGACTCGGTCATAATCCTTGCAGCTGGCCGGGACCTGAAGCATTTTCATTTCCACGCTTCCTACCGCTCCCAGAATCCGAAACCTGGTATATGACTTCCATGTAGAAAGCTGGGATGTCATCTAAATCAGGATCTCTCACGGTGAATTTCGTAAAATGCGAACTTTGGGGGCCGTCGCAATTCTGCCTTCGCTTAGGGTATAGATTGACAGGTCCTGAAATCCTAGGCAGAAACTGACCTAACAGCCCAAAACCCCGATGAAGCCTCAACCTGGGCCCTGTACCCTCATCCCACAAGCCTGAACCTCGATTTTTTGGGCTCCAACAGCGCTGTCGAGCGCGCCAGATGCGGCCGGAAGCCCCCTGCTTGCGAAAAGCAAATGCAAGTGTTTGTTTGGCTGATGTTTCGGGCTTCGGGTTGAGGGGGCCTTACATGTAATTCGAAGACGGTTTGCTTCGTTTTGTGGATAGGGAGCATAAAAAGAATGCAGGGCACGGATGGACCAAGGACAGAAAGACGGTTTCCCGTGTTAGTGCTCTTGCGCTTGTTCCTGCTGATTCTGGCATTTACCGTAACTCCTGCTTAATCCGTCCGATTTCTCTACAGGTTCAAGCACTCCTGCTCCTCTGAGACATAACCGCTTCTCTTATATATAGCTCTGCCTACAGAGTACTAGTAGTACTTGTAGTACTAGTAGTACTAGTAGTACTCGTAATACTAGTAGTACTAGTAGCACTAGTAGTAGTAGTAGTAGTAGTTGTAGTAGTAGTAGTAGTAGTAGTAGTAGTAGTAGTAGTAGTAGTAGTAGACATCGTAGTAGTAGTCGTAGTAGTAGTCGTCGTAGTAGTCGTAATAGTAGTCGTAGTAGTAGTAGTCGTAGTAGTAGCAGCAGTAGTAGTACTAGTAGCACAAGTAGCACTAGCAGCACTAGTAGCACTAGCAGCACTAGTAGCACTAGTAGCACTAGTAGTACGAGTAGCACTAGTAGTACGAGTAGTACTCGTACTAGTAGCACTAGTAGTACGAGTAGTCTAGCACTACGAGTAGTACTGGTTCTAGTAAAACTAGTAGTACTGGTAGCACTAGTAGCACTACTGGGCTCGTAGCAGAGGTAGTACCGGAGGAAAGCAGTACTGGTAGCAGCAACGGCAGCCGCTGAGGGGTCCCTGCATCCCTGAGCCACTAGAAGCCGAAGCCTTGGCTGAGCTCCAGAAGTCGGGCCGCGTCCTCGCCGGTGAGCGAGTCGATGACCTCGGCAGGTCGCCCCCTGCTCTGTTCTGAGGCTTTTGGAAGGCTTTCGAAAGCTTGGGTGTAGAAGATCCAGGTTCTTGGGGTCGCACAGAAGTTTAGGACCGAGGTGATACTTGCCTCCTTCTACCATTGAGGTGTCGCTGTGATCTTCTGGGTTTCCTTCTTCCGAAATCGCCACCACGCCCGCCAGCTTCCCGCAAAAAAGTTGGATCAGCGTGAGTTCTGAAGCTTGAACTGCGGACAGAATCCCAGCTTCCGTCCGAATTGTTGTCTGACCAGATCCTCTAAGATCCCATCAGTATAGTATAGGGCTCATATCAAAAAGTGTCTGAAATGCGAGACTGCTGGCAACCTTAAGACAAGGCATTACACTCACTTTTCATCGCTCCAAGAGGTTGCTCGCAGCACTTCTCGAAGGTATAGACCGTGTCCCAGCACCCCTTGTCACCACCTCGAGGCTTACCGGGGCTTGGTACTCGGGTGTGGCACAAGCCCCAGGCCATCCATCCCCAAACCTGTTGAACTCTGAAAGCTGCATGAAGACTCTGCCTGGGAGCTATGCACACCATCTCTTCGAAGCTTACAGACAACGGGGCATAACTCGTTTGAGCTTTGCAGGCTCCCCGATCCTTCAAGGCCCCTCTGCTGGGCTGCTGTGGTCCCCATCCACTTTGATGGACCAAAGGGCCGAAATTGTCACCTAAAACCTCGAGATTCAGCAGGATACTCCTGCCTGGTCCGTGCTTGGATTCATCGCAGCAGCGCTCTGGACCAAAGTGCTGTGTCCAGCAGTGAGCGCCTCCGCCCCGTTTGGCCTCAGCTTAGGTTTAGGTTTAGGAAGTCGAGGGTTTAGGGTCTAGTCAACTTGAGGGTGCTAGGGGAACCCTAAACTCCCTGAACTCCGAGGCACTAGCGCTTCAGGTTTGTATTCTGAAAGCTTGGTGTGGTGACGCATCACTCCAGCTTCTTCTACAGCGGGATCTTAGGGCAGAGGGGTGTTCCTTTGGGAGGAGAAAACTCGCGGGCAGCACACGGGACTGGGGATTTTGGCGTACTGCATGTCACGCGTTGCTGACCACGTGATGCACAACCCACCAATCAGCCAAGTTGCAGCATTTGGAGGGCGGGCCCCGAAATGCTTCCGCATGAACCACTGGTAGCTCTCATAAGACACAAACCTTAATGCAAGGAAGCTCTGGAGGATTGTGTTGAACGTGGTTCTGGCTTAGAATCCAGGCAGGGTTTCGGGGTTTAGGTTTAGCAACAAACGCATTTTGTAACAGAAAGTCAACAAGAAGCGGCTTGGCTTGTAACGAACTTCAAAAAACAAGTTGTCCCGAAAAACATCGACACAACGAGACCCAGCGGCACACCCGGCGCCACCCGTCCAAGGGTGCGCAAGCCTTGGGCCTATCACAAGGAGATTCTAGAATGGCGATCGTAATCGTGGAGCTTGGGGCTTCGGCTTTGAGTCATTGCTGCAGAGCTAAAAGCGCAGGTGTATGCATGTTGAGAAGTGGGCTTTTCCCTTGAGCTCTCAATGGGCCTGCTCCCCCAGCTGATCATCCGTGTCAGCCTCAACCTCCTTGGCGAATTCCAACACATCCTGATGAGTTTAAGTCAGAGTTGGACAAGGCTTCAAGGCTTTATGCCGCATGACTGCACTCTGAACGCCTACAATCCCACAATTTCCAAACCAAAGGCCAGCAGAATCCAGACGCTTGCCTAAGGGCCTGCTTTGACACCCTGTGTGCTGCCAACTGACTAGCACCAAACGAAAAAAAGAATTCGGAAAGAGCAAGAACCCCGTAGTCATCCTGATGCACATCCGGAAAGGTCCAGTCATCCCCAAAGAGAATGCCCCCCGGCGAAAGAGCTTGCCACGCCAGACGAAGTTCCAGCAAGACCTGGAAGGGCCGTCACTGTTGTTCATGCGCGAAATGACCATGGAAGAACACCCAAGCCGAGGCCTCTCCTTCATGATGGCCGGAATCGAGGTAGATGACTTGCGGCAGTTGAATGATCTGATGTCTGGCCATTGCGGCAACAAGCTTCAGGGCCGACACGGAGGTTGCGAGCATGGGCAGAACGCACCTGGAGGGCTGATCTAGTCCAACTCCCTCGGGTTTGGGGCCAGGGTCTTAGGGCTTTCCTTTCCAGCCTTTGCATATCTGCTCGTCGAATGTTCGCACGGAAGCGGTCATAGAGAGACACACTGCCGTCACGGCGTATGAGACGATGCTTCTCCTGGCAGCACGTACGTGTCGTATTGGACTCTCGTTTGATGCGTTCTGATCGACACGGTCGGCTGAAGAAAGGATGCGCTTTGAAACCGCCGGCCGACTACGGTCTTGTTGCCTCCAGAAGCAAACTTGACCTTTAAAAGGCGCTACGTGTAATGCAGCTACAACTACAGCTTGATGCCTAAGTTGCCACCTGAGCGCAATCTCGTCACCAATTCTCCTCGTCCGGCCGTGTCCAGAGAAAGTTCACATCTGTCAAGAACCTGGATGACTGTTCAGAACTGCCAGACTAGGGCTGCAGTTGAATGCTGAAAGCGGCGAAAGGGCTTACACTGCTTGGCTTGCAGATCCAAGAACAGAGCGAGTTCTGAGATGTAGATTCAACATGCAACTCTAGGAACATACATGAGACAGCAGAAGTTACAGTTGCCAATGGACGTGTCGGCGGCTATAACTGAGATGTTGAGGCCATGCGTAGCCACACGTTGCGCTGCAACGATTGCGGAGCCACCCTCCTTGGCTGTGCTTTGATAGATCGTGTAAGTAAACATGCTCACTTACATCGAGATCTCAACTACGCTGGACTCCAAAGTTGCGCATGATGCACCAAGCGACCATGGAACCCAGCTCCAACCAGAAGGTCACAGGCTGAGCTGCTGAGAACAGCACCATATCAACATCCTTGTCCGTAACGCTCGTCATTTCGGGGTAGATGCGTTCGGCGACATCGGGCACGGGCTCCAGCATAGGATCAATTCCAAGGAACAGTTCGTTAACCAGGATATCCGCAACCTGCGGGCGTGGACCCTCCCCACAATGTCCTGCAAGGCCGGCTGCCGCAGACGTGGCAAAAACCGCCCAGCGTAGCATTGCTGAAAGGCCACTACGATTGCAGCATGCATAAACTGGCAAGTGATACTTCGGTGGATCGCCGTAGCGGTGCAACCTACATCCCCGCTCCACACAAATCACTTTTGCCTCATGATGCTCCTTATTTCGGACGGCTAGTCGGCTGAGCACCGATCGCTGCTTCCATGAAATTCTTCGCTCATTAACAGCAGCGCAACCTACATCAGTCTGTAGCAGCCTCGAGAAGATGACTTCAATCATCGTGAGAACAGGATCATGACATACTTCGTCTTCGAATCACCAGAAGCAGCAACATCAACATCAGTCGCAGCATAGCCATTCCTCACTCACATCATCACCAGTACTTAATCACTTCTGCACCAACTCTCCACTGCAGCTGAAAACAAACGCTGCATCGGACTCGACTGGTTGAGTCGGTGCCCAAACCGCAGAAGCCACAAAGCTTCACCAATTCTGTCTCAGGCGAGGTACAACATCGTTTCAGAGACCCCGAAAGCTCGAAGACCCTGCTCTGAAACCCCGTCAACGTACGGCCGTCGGAGTCGGAGTCGGGGGGTTTAACCGCGGAATCTCAGCAACTTAGCAGAAGAGAAGCAAGGGGCATTCACAACTAGGGTCCGTCCACTGATGAAAGCGATAGACGATAATTAGACCATTCAAACCTACTTGCACATGGTCATACTTAGTAAATCCCTTTTCCCTGAGGATTACAACAGGGAGGACCCCAAAAGCCCTGCCCTGAATCCCAAAGTCGTCGAAGACCAAAGTCACCAATGCCGAAGCCCCTACACAGTTAAACACGCAAAGCCTCAGGGGCCCCTGAAGCCTTAAACTCTCAAGCCGAGTAAGCCCCCTGCGTCGGGATCGCAGTTTAGCAGGCTCCGACCTGGGTCGTTGAAGAGCGATTCGCTTACTCGGGCGTCAGGGTTGCAGTGTTTCGGGCATGAAGGCTTTGGTTGTTACTGGGGTGGGTTTGGGAGCTGAGGTTGATTGATTGAGGGTGGACCTGGACCAACACTCCTTCCATTTTTGATAGGCCCTGGGCATATCAATATCGGACAACCTTTCTGTCTGCCATAGGGTCCCAACACCCACAGCCCATAACCATCCTAAAGCATATGGTAACAGCACGAAGACACACAAAACGAACTCGCAAAACAAGGTCCAAAAGCCCCAAGGCCGCGAAGAACAAATCCCACAGCCCTACAAAATCCTGAGCCCATTTTCCCGAAGCACTGTTGTCTCCTAAGCATCCTACGACCAAGCCTTAAACCCTAATTCCGAATTCAGAAACAAATCCGAATACAATAGATATGAGAATACTCAGCCTCCAGCCGACCTCGAGTGCCTCGGCTGCGGCGCAGGGCCGGCGGAAGGACACGACAAGGCCCGCCTCTCCTGTTCTTTGAGGGCTTAAGGTTTAGGGTGTAAGATTTCTCGCTTATGGTCTAAATTTTGGGTGCTGTCGTTCGAAGGATGGAGACGTTCTTGTTCCCGCTAATTAGAACGTAAAGGGAAGGCTCGGTGCCGGCTTTGCGGATCTCAGGAACAATATCTACTGTGTTACAGGTCCTAGATTTTGGGCTTAGGATTCGGCGTGAGGAATTTAAATTCAGGGTTTGGCACAGTGTTGAAACTAGAAGCGGGACTACTGAAATTCCGTGTGCCACATGTGGAAGGTGCACGTGAGAGCTTCATACCTGCCAAAGATAAGAACCAGCATGGCGAGCACATGGCTTGGCCACGGTACTCCAGTAAATGCAGCAACCTACTTCTTTGGCTACGTGTAACCGAGGCATCAAGCAGAATGACTGAAAAACTCCGGGCTTACGGAAGATTCACACAAGACAGTGCGCAGATGGTACAGCAGCATGGCACTCACAGGGTTTGCAAATCGAGTGACTGTCCCCTAGGACTCTCTCCCAGTGCTGAAAGATTCAAAAGGCAGGGTCGCCAAATGCACATCAACTTCAGGATCCTCCCAGGTACGATGCCCCAAAATCCCCAACCCGGCCGGCCTCTGTTTTCTCGGACGACGAAAACCTTCCGCATGGAAGGTCAGGATTTGGTTTAAGATGGGGCTCAGGGCTTTGGAGTTTCTGCATTCAGGCTGTGGGGGTGCATACTTTTGAGGTTTAGGCTTCGAGCGCTTAAGTCAAGGAGTTCAGGGTTTAGGTGTTTCGAGATGCAAGGTTTGGGGTGCTAAGCTGCTAAGTTTCTAGGAGCTTCGGATTCCGATGTCACCCGCTGAAACAAAAACCAGCCACAAAGATATCGAGCTCTAAAGCCTATCTCTGCATCCCCGAGCGTAGGAGCCGCGGAGTTGCACATGCGTGGGAGTTTGGGACCCTACTTGTGGCCAAGACGAGATTTGAAGGACTTCGTCAAAGGCCCTTGCTTGACCTTGCAGAAGGAGAAAGATTAAAGCCCTGTATGGCTCCTCGGACGTCTTCTCTTCTGGGAACTTTGAAAAACTCAAAAGGCTGGTTACTCTCGCGAAAAACGTCTAGCATCGGTCATGTTTTCTTGTAGCCCGGGACGACATTGGGCACACACAAACCTGAACTTAAATTCCAAATGGGAGTAATGTGGGGATTAACTCAATGCACAAAGCCCTCAGCCCCAACACCCGAACCAACCCAGTAGCTCAATTCAAGCCCGAAGCTCGACAGACACCTATACACTCACCGAAACTAAACTGAACTGGAATATTGCAGCCTTCATAAGCAATCTTTTCCGACCTCTATATCGCTTCATGTGTGCCTCCTCCACCTCTGGCTGGGCTTCAAGAAGTCTCTTCATCTCCTCGGATCGGTGTTCAAGGCTGGTTGTAATCCCAAACCACTGAACCCTAAAAGCCCCCGAAGCCCTCAAAACCTAAACTCCAAGCCCCATTGGTCCAAAGCTCAATCCCCTACCTACACCCTAAAACACTAAAGTCTGGAAGGATAGCTTACTGGTGCATCAGCCCTGCAAAAAACTTGTATAATCTTGTGGGAACCCAAAAACCATGAAACCACGTTTAAGGAACCCTGGGAAGTTGCAGAGCAATAACAACAGGCCAGGGTGGTGAAGACGATTCAGCGACATGTTCCAAGTGGATCCAGACCGGAGCTGCAGAATCTGGTCTCAAAAGGCCATAAAACTCTGAAACTTTAACTCCAGGTTCCTCCCGTTTGGGGAAACACTCAAACCCGAAGGATTAAAACTCGTAGCCACGGCCGATCGACCTTAAGACCCTACACCCCCACGAAACCTAAACCCCAACTCCCAAACCACAGACCGAAAATTCTAAATAACACGGGCATCAAAAAGGTCGCGCCTTTGAGGACTCCTTCCTAGAATTCCCACACCTAAGCATCCAAGCTTCCTCGAGGCTTGCTGGTGTCCCCAGGAGGTCGTCACCAACCTTCGCTGGAGCCTGCCGCCCAAGGGAAATTCCAAGTTCGGAGTGGTGGTCCAGGGTTGGCAGCTTTAGAACCTTGGGAACACCTTTCGTGCTGCGAAGGAATGAGGGCATTAAGCCTTTGCTGGGTAGGGCTGAAGGCTTTGACGGCTTGGGGCTGAGGGGCTGGCGCGAGCCAAACCCAAATCAAATGGGCGTAAAGCCGTGCCAACCAAAGCTTTGAGCTTTCGAGCTTGAGCCTTTCGGGATTGACAAACCGTGAATCCAGAAGCCCTCCAGCGGCGTGCAGGTGTGTTACCTTGCGGGCCTGGCAGTTCAGTTTCAAACAGCAACTGTCTATGGCGACCAAGGAAAATCCTTAACCTAGTCACAAGGTTCCGCAACGCAGGATTTTTCCATACATAGGGGTTTGGGAGCTCTGTGCAGGTGCCAACTTCCACTGCCATCCGACGGCAAGCCCCAGACTTATAGGCCTCTGAATACTCTTAGAGCACTGGAAAATTTAGGGGTTCAGGGTCTTGTACTTGAAGGCGTTTAAACTCTTAAGGTTGATTGATCACTTCAGGGGTTTGGGGCTCAAAAGCATTCTTCTAGGCGTGCGCCTGCCGGCGAGATCGCTTCCATCCTCCCCGGATGTAGGGTTTCTAGGGCGTTGTTTTGGATTTTCGGGCCGATGCGGGGCCAGGACAGGTGTTTCGGGCTGGCCTGAGATCAAACCGTTGACCCAAAACGGCGAAAAGCCCGTCGGCCAGGGACCCAAAACGGCGAAAAGCCCGTCGGCCAGGACTTAAGGTTTAGATCGCGGAGTTACGAAGAAACCCAACATGAGAAACATTGCAATGCCTACACACCCTTGACCAGACAGGCACATAATACTGACTTTGTAGGTCCCATCACACTTGCATACTGGGAAATATTGGTATATTGCTCTAGCTCGGCCGGCATGACAAAAGCAGAAGCTACTACACCCTTGGCCTAAACCCATCCCCCAGACCCAACCCTACTTGTTGAGGCGAACACGTGTGAGATTTGTGCAACTCACAGCCCTCAAACACTGAAGCTCAAACGAGATACAAACCTACCAGATCCTACCAGTACATGCAACAGTGCCTGCAGAGCCGTACCATCAACACACTTGATAAACAAAAACAAAACAAAATCGTACCACACCAAATCCTGTTTCATCCATGCAGGCGTTTTGCAGACCAATTCGGATCTTGACCCGACCCTATTTTCAGGTGAAGGCCTGTTTGGGGTTGAGGGTTTTGGTCAAATTCAGAAGCACCACACAGGACCTGGCTGGGAGTCAAGACTAATATACAGGCATGTGAACAAGCCGAAGCCCTACCCCAAATCGCTGTCGGCGCGCCGTGGACAACGCTTCTGTCATGGGAAGCACCAGCCCTGAACCACAAGCGCTTGAGTCCTCGTGGTTCTCATTACGGCATTAAGGCTTTGTGCGTGCTTGCCG